TATTTTTACTTATCTTTTAGTTATTGGTTTGCATAACATTAGAATGATTTTTTAATGTCCAAACATGTGCCAAAAACATGTGCGAAAGTGAAGTCCACAAACATGTAAGCCAATCGGTGATCGGGTGTTACAAGTTTGTAAAATTTGGGCTACAATTTCCTTAGGGTTTCTAAAACCTAAATAGATACAACTCTTACTTACCATAAGGCAGCATGCACATAAATATTTACTTACCATCTTGAACAATGTTGATTGGTCAAATATGTTAGGTATTTGATGTACTTCGTAAGTCTGTGAACAAAATGGACTAAATTAATATGTTGTAAAAGTCAAGAAGTAATGTGAAAATTGTGTTATTTTAGGTCCAGGGTTCGAGAATGGAAAAGAAGTAAAAACAAAGCCGCAATTTCACTAGACTGTCGCTAAGACTTGGCTCGAGCGTCAAAAACAGTAACACTATCACTAGCCTGTCGTTAGGTCTTCGCTCGAGCGACACACAGTCGCTCGCCTGTCACCCAGCTCTCGCTTGAGCGACAGATTATCTGAGAATTTTTTAATTCATTTTTAAGGCTTTTTATCTGTCTCATTCATACATTGACCTACATATAAATACGTGAACGCCTCTAAACGAGATTCTAAGGGTGAACATTGTAAAAAACATATTCTTTTCATATCATCTTCATAAATTTGCTTTCAACCTTCGTCCTGTTATTAGCTATTGGCGGTGTAAACATTAAACTCGCAATCCAAATACAAATTGCTGCTTGTTAATGAGACCATAGAAGCCAAAGTTAAATCTTTAACAAGTAGTCTTAAAAAATCTAATACTTAACTTCATTCGTTCATGAGTGGTACGCAGAAACTCAATAATCTATTGGGGATGAACAAGCCTGCTAGGAATAGGCAAGGTTTGGGTTACTTTCAAAGTGGTAATGCTGCTGCTAGTACATCCAAGATCACGTTCGTCCCAACCACCAACAGAGCTCGGAATATTGTTAATCCTAAACCCAAGGGCACTAAGGTTTTTGGATCAAGATCTACTAGACAACGTGTGGTCAATCGTCCTATATACCGACAACAACCTCCAAGCAACTTTGAACCTAGGTTTATTCTCATTTGTCATCAGTTTGGCGCATTGGAACATACAAGACCCAAGTGTCGTAAACTCGTGACTAGAAGTAAAAGTTAGGATTCTCTAGCGATGCTAACTTTCTTGCCAATCAGGTTAGCCATTTAACTGAAATAATGACTCAGTTAACTAGGATCACTTCTATTTCTAAGATGGGTTGAGTTAAAAAAAGTGACTTGAAAGGTCGTGAGATTGATCATACTTAAAGGTAAGAGCATCCATGTATCTGTTTGATCAGATACTTAGGTACATGC